CGATTTGAGAATCTTCCGGCGAATTAGATGTATCATGCCTGAATGTGGAGCAATGTGAAGAAGCGGCTGACCTCTGCCCACTTCTACCCAGACGTACCAACTCACCTTGCATTGAATGCAACGTTCCCGTTGCGCCTGAGCTTGTAAACAAAACGCGTAAAAATTAAAGCCAATTGTCATCCTATGCAGATTTCTTTGACAAGAATATTTCCAGAGTACAATTAAAAATTTTATTATATTTTGTGGTTTCTGAATTTTATTCCGTGCGTTACAGATTTCCAAGAACTTTTTTTTAAATCTCTGAACTATTCAATGGATAAGTCTTGTATTCACATGCTATGTTAATCGTTATTTTCACAGTTATGGATCTTATGATTCATGATTCTTTTATAAATTCAGGGAATGATATTCAGATTTACAACTTTCTCTACTACTCTCTACTAAATATGTGGTGAAACCTGCCTCATCAATACATTATTGACATTTAATTCTGTAGACATTTAAAGGACGCAAACCCTTTTTCTTACTAATCCCGATGCAAATAATTTGAGTTTTAGAAGCTGAGAATTAAAGAAATATTTTTATTATATGTATGAAAAAATACTCTAACATTTTGCTTCAGTTCGATTCAGTTCTTGGAAGTGATAATATTCACGCAAAAGAATAGCTATCGAATTTAAATATGTTCTGACATGCAAGCACTCTCATTACATTTATCTTACAATCGTTCGTGTAAACTTATTAAACTCCATTTGCTCCATCTTAAAAATATAAAATGGATGCCTTATAACTCCATTACGATCTTATTAAAAAGGCATTTTTCATTCTCCTAATCCTGTTTCCTTTAAATCTTTGTATTAATAGTTTCGACGCGTTTTACGGCCCGATTCGTGAAAACGGAAGATGTTTAGTTTGGTTCTTTATGCCTTTAACAAAAATGTGTACTTGTTCATAACCTTTGTTAACATGAAATGTCTTATGATTAAGAAATCTATTTTTCTCAACTTTATAATTGTCTCATTCCAATACCCTTTATGGATCTACACGCTTATTGCACCACTTCTGAAATGCATATTGCCTACATTTGTAGGGAAAAAAACATTGTTGAGCAAACGGGTCCAGGTGGCGGAATAGTACGGAACCACTCCAAAGAAGTGCGTGTACTTTGTTTCTGTGTGTTACGACTGTCTACGCCGCAGCCTCCGCCTTCACCTTGCCACTGAAGCTGCACCTCGCTCCGTGCACCGCCACCGTCTCTGCCACCGCCGCCGCCCACCTCCATCCCCCACCCAACCCCCACGTCCACCCGGTCTCCTCGCTTTTCTCCCACCCGACGGAACCCAACGCCCGCACCCTGCGCTAAGAAAAATGAGGCCCATTCTAAAACAAATGTGCCCGCCGTAGCCAGCAACACGGCGAAGTGCTTTGGAGAGGTTTTGCGTCAGGCACACCGCGTTACATTTGTCCTCGTAATGTAATTTTTGGGCTAACCTAGATTGCTTACATCCTCCTCTTTTATTAATGCCATTACAACAATTGCTTCGAGTCCCTTTCGTTGAGATTTCTGCTTCTTCTTTAATAAATTGATACTGTCTTAGTTATAATGCTCATCAACAGGTAAAGATTTTCTGCAGAGATCTGTCACAGATCAGACCTACAATGATGGTCTGAAATGATAAACTTCCATTTCTCTGAGTTTCTTGTCATCATTAATAATTATACGGTTCAGTAATGTTATTTTGGTTGATTGATACTAATTTCAGAACGTCATTTATCAGCTAATTTATGGTTAGGCCGTGTACATATATTAGAATGAAGTCGAGTAAATATCACATATTCATTTTAATCAAAATAGTGAAGTAAATAACATTTTAATGGGTTATTTGTATCAAAATGTATATTCTGTAATTCATTAATTAAAATTAATTAAATTATTAATACATTATTAATTAATTAAAACTTTTAATACATTTTAAACGTACGATTAACGTATTGAGTTAGTTCTCGGACATAAACTGACGGACACCTTCTCTGTTCCAAATCGGCATGCCTCTTAAACTGAATTCAGAATTACAATGCAGACATAACATTAAAGGAATTGATACAAATTTTCTGTAGATAACAGATTAAAAAGGATGTACGCTCGGAAAAACACCATTCTCTGTTTAGTAGTTCATTTCCATATCTTAGATTTTTTCTATCTGAGATTTCCAGGCTATCTTCATTCACATTTTGGAAAATTATGCAATAATGTGGTACTTTTATATGCTAGTCATGATGACGAAATATAAAACCGCGTCTTCACTGTGAGTGGATATCTTAAAGAAACAACAGCCGAATAGGTCCTTGTCCACTCGCTTCGAGAACGATAATTAATGGCGTTCTGTGGAGTAACCACATGCGCATTAAATAATATACAATTCAGTAATTGTTGTAGATAATAAGTAAAAATCTATGATTGTCGTATTACTTACCTTGAATGCACTCCATAGTATCTACGAAGGAATTACCACCTTACACTGCATTGGTAGCTGTCAATATCATACGAACCTTTTTGGATGTTTTGAAAAGTATTCTCTTCGAACTGCAGTCTCCACTTTCCAGACACATTTGTCTCTGTCAAACCTCGTAAAAGTTTTGTGACTTTCAAACAGTAACATATTTGGATGAGATTTAAATTGACTTTTCCAAAGCTATTGATTTGTTACTATAGATGATAGATGATCTGATATTAATTTGGTGAAAATAACAGAGGAGAATACAATCACCAACACCAGTGATCAAGAAAAAGTGCATTCATTAACTATCTTGTAGCACTTGGCGGGTTAGGATTTCTCGCTGGAAAGAGAGATTTCCGTTTTACTGTTAAAAACTGTTTAAAGATCATGCGTAAGAGAAAACTTATTTGTACTAACTATATAAGACTCAATCGCGCCTGGGTAAATAATGAGTGGTATTGAGTATTTAAGTTAAGGTTATCGTGTACTTGTAATAAACAGTTACATTTTATAAATACTCGTGATTATATTTTTACATGGTATAAAAACACTCTACCTCTTAATCCTGTCAAATTCGCCTACATTCTCATAAGAAAGAAGGAAGCAGACAATGTGTGGTACAATATCACCCTACCATGGAGTGTGACATTGTAGCATATAAACTTCCCCTCCTACCAAATAACAAACTGTTAACTAAACGGCTTATATGTAAAAACATACCTCTGGAGTAACCTAAGATATGTAAATGTCTATAAAAAATGTGATAAACATTATTTTGGTTTCACAACTACAAAAACACAGTTTCTTGGTACAAATTCACCCCAAATGATAGTATTATCCGCCTTTTATTCCGTCTAAATAAAATACTACGCTAAGACAAAATGACGGATTATTCCTTTTTAAGAAACCATGGGCACACAACCCCTTTAGTGTAATACTGCTGGGTAGGGAATGACCTCCCATGGGTGCTTTAAAGATATTTAAGACGAAAATTCTCAAAGTTCCCAGACAATGGATTTTTTTATTATCAGGAATACATGCAATCCGCAAACACTAGGTCCATAACACACTTTCCCGTCGGGCATTACTCGAAAACCATGGGGCCTAGAACCATTAAACTAGTTTTTTGTGTCCCTACACTAGTTATGTTTCCTATAACACTCTACACACTGCGACCTTTTTGGATGTGCTATTACATTTTTTGTTGACACGGATTGCCACAAACGCTGTAAGTTGTGGTCCCTTGTAAAGCTATTTTCACTATGAAAACAATGATTTAAAATTTCGGTTAAATTACAGTTTTTTTGTCGAATAATTCTGAGGCCCCCTTCATTAATTTTGTTTGGGGTTAAAGTTCTCCTGGTTTATACAGTTATTCCGAACTTCCCGTTTCATCTGACAGGGGAGGCACTGCATCCCCCCACCGTAACATTTATACAGCATTTGGTAAAAAAACACTATTTTTTTAATTTTCAGTTTAATTTCTAGGTGAATAAGTTGGGGAACATGCGTTGAATACGTTAGGGAGATTTGGGGGAACATTGGGGGAGCATTTGAGGGATCATGAAGGAACCTGTGAAGAACGTGTGAGAGGAAACATGTTGGTGATCATATGGGGAACGCGCGAAGATATCTGCCGGGATATATGCTGAAAACATTTGGTGAACAAGCGAGGAAGAAAGTGGTGAACAAGGGACAGAACATGTTAACATGCGAGGTTCAATTTACCATTGTAAAATCACAACCATTGATGAATAATAAAATAAAATTGGTTCACGAGATTGATCATTGTGGGTAGAGAAAAAATTAGTTGTACAAACGTTTTAAAATATTTAATTTCTTCATCGGGGCTAGAGTTTATAAAATGAACAGAGCATGTTCATGAACATGGACCGGTTGTAACTCAACTTTTTTTTTGTTATTTAAGGTCGCTTCAACTACTAGGTCATTAGCGACCAAAATCACGTGTAACGGTATGGTAACTATGAGGATGACTCTATACGATTATGATGATGATGATGATGACAGGGGTGTGAAAGGAGGAACACAATACAAGCATGCCCGAGGCGGGACTCAGACCCGCGATCCTTTGGTGCGAGATCGCTACGGCACTACTGCCTTAGCGATCTATGATATCCGGAACGGCTGGATTTCTTTGTATATCTTGTACTTATGCGTTAGACGTATTACTGTAGAATATGTCGCCAATGACAGAACTTTGTAGGATTCATCAATTGCAAGCTTCGTTTTGTATTATAATCGAGAACACGGTGATCGGTGAAAGGGAGCTGTGGAGCTATCCTTAGATTCCATTGATCCTTCCAGTGAATGATGAGATGGCTGTTTGTATGATTTGACCTAATTGCAGAAAAACATCTTCCAGACCGTCATACGCAGTATAAATTTCTTTTTCACGTACAAAACACGCACCAATAATCTGAACCGAACCAAACTGAAATGCCCGGCAACTTAATAAACGCGACCACTGTTCTTCCTTTGCAGATGGCAAGTACCACATGCTGCCGTCGGGGGAGCTCATGATCTTAAACATCACCCGCGCAGACGCGCAACGCAACTACCGCTGCCGCACCCTGCACCAGCTCACGCAGGAGGTGGCGATCAGCGACAACGTTGGCCGCGTGCAGCTCACCAGTACGTAGCAATTGATTCATTGATTTATTATTTCATGTTTCTCGGCAATACTTTGACGAAAAGGGCCTGTTTTCAATGGACTGATTCCAATAACGCGATGTCTGGCGCTTCTCAGCCTAATGAATGACTTGGGTGTTTGAAGAATAAAGTTTGCGCAACAATCCCAGATCTCTGATGACTATCAGTATGAGGAAGGATGTGACAAGTATTCAGGATTGACGGTCGGAAATTAGGATAAAAAAACGAAAAAAGGAACTATTTTCTTGATTCTTTTTCGTTCCGACATCAATGGACCACGAAAATGTCTGCTTCAGCGTCAATTTTCAGGTCAACATATTTTTTTGTCCAAGGGGTGGAGGAGGCTTCAAGTCACATACTACATGTTTTTGAAGTAATATTAATATCTCTCAAGTACACATACATGATAACATGAACGAAATTTTTCCACTTTTTCGTTTCCAGGGCTCCGCAATATACGTTTTTCTGTCAAAAAATCGACGATTTCTGCTGCAGCATTACAATACTTTCTTTTTGATACGTCAGCACGTAATTTGCGATAAAAACATCTTTTCCCAACGTGGGTAAAGACCCTCCGACCCTTTAACTGAGGTAGATGCCTGAAATGAAATGTATTTTGAAAATTATTTAATTTAAAACAATGTAATAGTTATTATCGATAAAATAAATTGATATGTTTGCAACTGTCTAATGCTTCCTTAAATTACTGACTTAAATCGACTTCCCAATCTTGCCTGTTGTCGTTGAGATCAATCTTTGTATTTGCCGAAGTGCCTATCTCCTTTCTCATAATATTTGCATGAGTCCAATAGTTACGGGAGTATCGATCAACAAGCTTTGTTGATGTGCGTACTGTATCATGACTATTACCCTGAATAGTGATCACGGCTATATCGCAAATTATGTAGGCGTTGTTCGTCTTGATTGTCTGTCATTTACTAATGATTCCGGCGATACACATCATCTTCTTGTGCTAATACGAATGTATTCAGAGAAGAAATGGTCCATTTACAATTATTAGTATTAGCATTTCTGTTAGTAACCAGGTCTAAGCATTCAGTACTGAAAGAACGGACTTCGGGAAATGCAAAGCCTCTCGCGACAAATCATTTCTTCCAATTTTACTCTTTTATTCGTTCAAGAATTGTTCCATTCATTATCCCTCTTCCTTTCTCGTATATTAGTGCATAACGAGTGTGAACATAGTAAACTGAAAGTTACGTAATGCTCCAAAGATGCGATGTCGAGGTTTCCTCTGAAATGCACTTTTTGGGGAAACCGAAGAATCGCTTTAAAAAGTAGCTTCGTCCGTCCATAGCTCAGACTTCCTGTCTGTCAATCAGTCAGTGAGTCTGTCTGTTTTCTTGCCTACTTGTCCACCTGTCTGACCGCCTTTCTGTACGTCTGCCTGTCCTTTTTTCCGTCCATCAGGTAGATTCTTTTTGAAATAAATTCTGAGATAAATTCAAACACTTTTACTGACCCCGGAAGGATGGACGAAAAGACGAGCGTACAGACAGACGTTGAACACAGATGTTGAAAAAAGCACTTCTGTGTATAAGGGATCCCTAAACGTCAAAATCTGGACTACAATTTTTTCAGAATTACATTCCTTTCATTACAGGCTTACACGGTTCAGAGACAAAAAAATGATCATCAACAACTATAGCAATAATAATAATAATAATAATAATAATAATAATAATAATAATAATATTGTTACATAGAAAATTTATCCATTTTTTAAAATTTAAATAATACTTGTCAAAACTCGTAATCTCACTGTTGAATTTCGAAACTTACCAGATCGAAAATGGGAAGTGTCAAAAACATGATCCACAGTCCATTATCAGAACTATCATTATTCATTGTTTTCTTTTAAATAGTCATTACTTCATAAAATACAAGATTCATCAGATAAATCATCAGATTTAGCCTATGCTCTTTCATGTTTTTACTTCCAGATGATGCAAATGAACATGACAAGGTAAAACGTTTTTCACATATTTGTAAAAATGTTTGTTTTAGGAGCAAATGACTTATAAATCTAATGTACTCAATCGTACGGACATTAAATTGAAACACGCCTTAATTGTCTCTTGTACGTTGAAAGTGCTTAGCGTTAGGTTTGCAAGTGAAGGGCAGAGTATGAAATTGTGTAATAGTATATGAATATTCTGTTTGTCGATGCGAGTATTTTAGAGTTCATGTAAATATTCTAAATATCTATTCACTATTACAATTGTATGCATGTTCGCCCTGGAAAAAAATATCTCTGTGTATGATTTAAAAGAACGTTGCATTCCAGCACGCGTTTGTTTCTACACGCATGCGTGAGAACAAATTAGAACCCATACGTGCGTGAATATAGGGCAAATCGATGTACTTACAAAGAACGTGAGGGCATGTACTCCATGCAAATCACAAACTGTTCGTTGTTGCTCTAGTTTTAGAAACAAATGGGATTCAGTGACAAACATAATCGACAATAAATTGCTTTCTATAATGCCCACTTAGGATATTGAAAATTTGCCGAACTGATGTAGAGAGTATATTATTTTGCAAAGCACTAGTATACTATTTTGGTATTTACTGATTAGAAACATTAATAGGCTGTTCAATATATCAACCTAGGCCTGTAAAATATGGATATTGAATCTAAGTGTGAAAATAATCTACTTTAATTTTATCCCTCTTCTACAAATCAAGTGACGGTTCTTCTCCAGCTCAACTAGATCTCGCAAATATCATTATTACTTGCAAAGCAGATGGATAATAGAAATACTAAAGCTTATCATTATTTTAGATGAATATTTCATAAACATGATTGGTTAAGTGCAAATCTTCTATCCTTCAAGTTTCTAAAAGATCTGTTATCACAATTTCCTTGTCAGATAAAAGTATAAACAAGTAAAATCTGTTTACACTATAGCTTTAACAATTCATTAAATTACTGGCCGGGATAGCATTTTTAAAATACATCCAACACATTTGGAATTACTACAAAAACGTATTATGGAAATGGACTTACCATTGGTAAACCATTATATTACCCTACGACGCAAATATTTTGAATTATTTCAAGCTAGTGACTAAAGAACACTGTACAAGATGAAATTGCTGCATCATTTTTCACGAATGAAACGTAACACTCCTTCCGGCTTTACATATTACATTCATTTTATATTCCGTTTTTAAATAGCACATGTGTAATGGCCCTCTAATTCCACATCGACGTGAAAGGAGTAAATTTAACTTATATAATTTCAAAAAGAATCGAAGAACCTTCGCATACCAATTTGGGGGATCAACTATGGACACTACCAATGTTTTTCGTATATTTTTATGTAAGTAAAGATTCAAAGTTTTATCGATTATGATATTTTTATTAGAATTTTTCGTTAGGTTTAGTGGTAGTTTTGACGTTCCAAGCTTATCAGATGCTTCAAAAAAAATCAAAACCGTCGCTATGCGTGAGCGCTTCTTGGAAAGTACGGCGTTCTCTCACATCCAGGCCTGCCTACAAACACTTCGCAATCTTATTTTAGTATCGGTCGATGTTAGTATCAGCTGAGCAATTGGAGAAACATTGTAAATGAACTAATTCTAAAACGGACAATTCCATCTGTATTCGCAGCAAGGCCCACATGTCCAAAAAATGGTCAAAATGTATATCGCTTTGTTGTACCTGTAAAGCAAAAAATATTTTAACACAAACTGTAGGAAAGTTGTTGTTATATGTTGCTAAATACTTACACTCGTATTACAAGTTTTTAAATGTATAAATTTTCCTTATGTTACATATGAAATTTATTTTGAAGTCCAACTTCCGTTATTTATCTCCGGGACCCGGAATGCTATTGGCTGCTAAGGGATAGATTTTCGAATGTGGAAGTGTGTTAGCTTACTGGCCCCGAGCTCCCGATGCGCGGGTTCGATTCCATCCTGAGATGCCAGGATTTGCGAATGGTGGAAAATCCACTATAGCCATGTCACACTTGTGGCATGTAACAGAACGGCCAAATTCAATCCCTTTGACATCATCCGCCCTAACGATATCTCACTTTTCCCCAGGCAGTTCATGTACAGTAACTGAGACCAACATCTGGCGGAGAAACTGGGCGTTGAATCCCAGGAGTTAGGGTACCGCCAGCGAGGCGCACCTGCCTGGTAAGATCCCCAGTGTCGGAGGTAGGCTTCTAAAGAAACCTGGGTTGAAAACCCTGGGAAGGTAACGGGAAACCACCCTGTCACCCGGAGTATATCTTCCCAAGAAAACACGTCAAGGGTCACCTAATTTCTGTCTATGGAAGATAGGACCAAAGAAGAAGAAGATTTATACATGAAGCAATTAATCTTTTGTTTATTTCTCTTCTTGATGTTTGTGTATTTATAACTTTGTGTTACATTTGTTTTTGTTATTATTTTTGTTTTGTATAACTTTTGTTCTGATGATCTATTCTATGTTGCCAGTCATAGTAAATTATCGTTGTCACAACTTTAACTTATGAAAAAAATATTTTGCCTCATGTACCGAGTTATAGATTTTTTTATTTAAGTATTCTTGAAATGCACAACAATTATTTGCTCATTCTGGCGCATCTGTGTATTACTTGTAATGGGTGCTACACCGAAACCACGTTAGTGACATGGTATAATCGAAATGTAATGCTGAGCAGCAGAAATAGTTTGACGGAGATAGAAGGAAGGAGTAAATTTCAGAAGCCTTGAAGCTTAGCAACATTCGTAAGTGTGACATGAAAATGGGCTCTTTTACTGGACAATCCTGCAATTTATATTTTAATGTTCTGAATTTGTAGTCATTAGAGCTTGCTTATGTTGTGTGCCTTTGCTGTATTATCTGTGGCGAGTTATTCATTCATATGTATTTGTTGATGCATGTTTCGTGATACATTTTTACGACTGTTTGGGCGTCAATAGGTAGAAAGGAATCCTTTGCAAATTGCGTGTAAGTAACATTC